ACTGGAAACATGGACCTGTTCCCACAGACCCAGAACTCTCTGAATATAATCTGTATATGATATATGTGTGCTGTGTGTGTGAGCAGGTATCCACTGTGACAGTGTGTGTGCGGAGGGCCGCTGGGGCCCCAACTGCTCCCGCCACTGCAGCTGTAAGAACGGGGCCTCCTGCTCTCCGGATGAAGGGACCTGCGAGTGCGCTCCGGGATACAGAGGCACCACCTGCCAGAGGAGTAAGTCCACATCCACACCGCTAACGCCAGCAGCGCTTACGCAAGCTAGGGCGGCCATGTTCTGGTTTCCAAAAATGAGGAACTCTGCCTCCAGACGGATCCAGACAGGGTTTTCAGATGTTCATGAACAGGCTTTATTAGACCTCAATGGGACAAAAAGAACTTTGGTAGTAAAACACAATCTGTAACAACCAGTAAAAAAAGACAACCCTCCTTTAAAATACAGAAATAAAATAAATAATGTTCTAAATGTGACCTCTTCTGGATTAGAAAATACAGCTTCAACTAAACACCTCTGAATGGAAGAAAGGAAACAGTCTCACAACCACACAAACTCAACTAACAACAAGGATCTACACTAAGTAGAGATCCTTTTAGTATCTATACACTAAGTTTAGATCCTTTTTGTCCCGCTTGTCCGACCGGGACGTTAGTGAGAGCAGCTCTCCTGGACTCCCAGAGTTCTGGTGCCTGGCCCTCAGGCCCAAAGTCAGTAAGACAGGTTTTATTGGACTTAGACTCAACTTTCTTTATCCGTTGGGATTTCCTCTTTCAGGGAAATCCTGGTTCCAGTAGCTTATGTAGAGGTCAAAGGTCAGAGTTAAAGCAATATGCCATTAACTCATTGGCTGCCAAAGACGTCTATAGAGGTCTTTTATGTTTTTTAACGAGAGTGTCTGGGGGACGATCTGCTAAAGCTTGTCCGTAAATATGGGCTTCTAGACAGAGTATGTAGTAACAAATTGACCCTCTAGGGGGCAGTGCCACTTTTGATGGGAGATGAGCATAGACTGTAGGCAAATAAGAAAAAGGGAACGGTTCTATGAGAGAACATGTCGCCGGTGAGACGCAAGTCCAGGAAGAACGGAATAAGGTAGAAACACATTTTTTTTCCTGGTGAAAGAAGAGAGTCTACTCTTTCTTTTGGTGTGTTCGGTGTTTACATAGTCATAGCACAAACTATTCTGTGGCTCTAGAAAAATCAGTCAAAATGCTAAAAAAACTCTGGCAGTATGGGACTCTGTTCTGAAAATGGCTGCCAGTCAATGAGTTAAGATAAAAATACAACAGACAATATCAAAAGAGTGGATATGGTACAATAGAGCATAAGAAGAATATTAGGTGGGTCTGAGCTTTTAGGGATCTCTACATTTATTCATGTCATTTCATCTTCCTTAAGAATTCAAATCTAAATGAGTTTTGTGCTTCAGAAACGTGGGAAGCAAATACATGGAAAACAAAGACATTTTCTGTTTATATGACATTTAAACGTGTGCTCTTTTGTTACCAGAATGACGAACCGAGCTCTGGTCCTCCTCTCAGAGCTAATCCTGTAACCTGTTGTTGTTGTTGTTGCTGTCCTACAGTCTGCTCTCCGGGCTACTTCGGCCACCGCTGCGGTCAGACCTGCCCCCAGTGCGTCCACAGCAACGGGCCCTGCCACCACGTCACCGGCCAGTGCGACTGCCTGCCCGGCTTCAGGGGCGCCCTGTGCAACGAGGGTAGGCCTCCCAGCTCAGAGGCTCCAGGGGTGTCAGCCCCAGTCTTTAGCTGGAAACCTGAGAATTACCAGAGTAGATCAGGAGAACAAACATGATATTTATTGGGCTTTAAAGCCTCCAAAAAACAGCTTTAAAATCATCAAAAATCAGCTTTAAACCCCCCCCCAAAAGGCTTTAAAGCCTCAAAAACAGCTTTTTCAACTCTGACTGGGGGTTTTCCTCCAGAGAGCTGATTGTCAGACTGATGAGAGCTGGAACACTGGCTCTGCTTTGGGAGTTGCTTTGGAGAAAAGCATCTAAATGCAGAAACAGAAACTCTGGGTGTGATGGGTAATTATTTTCTGGGCTGGTTCTGCCCCTTAGAAAAAGAGGACTGGACCCAACCGGATGCTATTGGTCAGTTAGCTCTGACATGAACAGGCCAGGTCCTAATTCATGCAGATGACACTGGAATGTGCTAACAGAGTGTGTGTGTGTGTGTGTTGACCTGAAGACGAGAATCTACTGAAACAGAAAGAGAAAAAGAGAAAAAAGAATCTGTGGGCTCAGACAGAGAGTTTACACAGAAATAAAATTCTA